AGTCTTTTTTCCATCTAAATGGTTGACAGGTTGCTTCTATTAGGTACCGGATATCTTAGTGTCGCTTTTCTGAGTTCAGGAAGTTTTGGGGCCGATTACTATGGAAAATCAATATCCCAGAAGGCAGTTTTTGCTCATTAATATTGCGAAATATGTTGCTTACCGTCTTCTATTGTTGGTTCACAATTTAACTTTCCCCCAATTTTTATACTTTCTTCTGAAAATTCCTGGGTCCAGTGTGCAAATTCGCATGTGTGTACCAAATGCATCAAAATTCTTGCTGAGAGCTGTAACCTCCGCCCACCAAACCAGCATTGCATTTGATGGAGGGAATACTACCATTTAAAATGCTCATCGGTTTTTCACAGTTTTCTTAAAAGACAGTAAAGTCTTTGAAGGGATGCCCGCAACCGTCGCCAAAAAGGTGGTCCTAGCTAAATCAGTCAAAACGGGGCTGCACCAGTCTTGTGCTGGAATGGTAGGACACCCTAGCAGTTACTGATCGATGGTGCACAGACGCTCTAACGAAGTTGATTGACCAAGAAATTCTAATAAATGTGCTCATCTGCTACTCACGTGTGCTCAAAAAGGGTGCGTTTTTGACCCTATGTGGCAAAAAAGACTCCGGGAAAAATTGTCCAGTTGAGCTGGTAAGTAATAAATTTTCCACCAAACAGTGCAGACCCTACTCTAACTAAATGTATACATATTTTGTCCAGGCCCAACTGTTTAGCAAGGTGAGAGGGATGATTTGTCAGATGATGTCAAATTCGACCTACCTCTCTTTTTCGTCTCAAAAAATTCCTAACTTTAATCGTACGAGGTTTTCACTCATACTGGTAAATGGGAAAGGGCTAATGAGTCATTCGATGGATATGCCGTTTCACTCACTGGATTTTGAATTAAAATATTGGTGGTCCGAAACTCGCGGTGAAAAAACGACACTAAGATATCCGGTACCTAATAATTTACACTATACTAAGCAGAGCGGTGACCAGGCAGGAGAAGTACCAAATTTCAAAAATACGGTGCATAAGATCGAATTCCTATGTCACACTTCAGGAGCCCCAGTTTCTATGAATCCGTTTGAGATCCTCTCAGAATGGTCCGTCGGTTTTCTTAGGTTGGTCAGTCTGAAACATTTGCTTAAAGGTGGGGAGGTTCTCAGCAGTCGTTGGCTAGGCCCCGAGTGTTTACAAATCTCTGCAAACTCTAACGTATGCAAATGCATGGCGCGTTCCACAGGTAGCGGTCCGTTCAACGCAAGTTTTGCTTTACATGATATTTTCGAGTGGCCTAAAGAAGTAGGGTAAAAAGATACCAAGAGCCTTACCCGGATAAAGTTGGTCAGTCCACGGAATGACACTTCTTCAACGGTGGAAAGACTGATGGCGTCGCAATCTGATGAGAGAAATATGTTCAGCAGCGCATCGCCAACATCGTTCGATGTGTCTTCGTTGCTGAAAACCCTTGGAAATTCATCTCAAATTATGTCAAAATAAACATTTGTGACAGTTGTCCAACCCCTTTGTGAAGCTCTGATCGTCTTCGATCCGAAAGGAACGTGAAGCTATCTGTGACTGCAGGAAAAAACGAGCCACAGAATCTGCCGGAAAGACGCATTCTTTGAGCTGGAACGAAGATAACGAGGATAGAGACGCAGAGGAAAAATATAATATTCTAATTCTATTATTTGTTGTTAGGTGACTTCGAAAAATATTTTTCACTCCATCGAACAAGAATATTTGCCCCGAAAGCCCTGAATATTCAATAGCTCACCTTTAACAATGGAATTGATCGCACTTGTGTTAGCATGATTAACACTTGTGTAATGTCAGAATCAGAGAAGCAGAGTGATTTGAAAGTCAGTGAACATTCGGCATCCAAGGGTAGCAGACGAGCTGCATGAAACAACAACGGTGTGTCCCCATCAGGAGCACTTTCAAGAATCAATCCCTTGACGGCGAGTTCCTTGAAGCGATAGAACTCGTCCAATTCGGACGAGATTATCGCAAATCGTCTGCAAAACAACAAATTATGCATTAATGCTCATAAATGACCTTAATGCATATTATGTCAGTTTAGGTAAACATAGCGCAGTGGTTTGGAGTGACTAACCTAGCCCGCAAAGTCCGTGAGGTCGGAACCCAATATTGATTTTAATATTTTAAATTCTATTTACTTATTTTGTAACTAGCCTTTTTAACATTTCGTTGGTTTTCTTTTTTAGGCTAATTATTTCCTCATCCCTTTCCTTAGGAATTTTCTTGCATGCTAAACGCTCTCGTTTTTTTCGATGAGAACTAAAGCTCCGATTGGGGTCACCCATTAGCCTGGCCGGGCCATGAAAGGGAGGGGTGGTTTGTGATTTGAAGGGGCGGGGGGTATTGTATTTTATTGAGTCATGGGAGGAGGAAAGCGTATGATATATAGGAATTTCTTTCAAACTTTCCAACTTCCTGGACTCCCCCTCACTTCCTCCCCGCCTCCTCCCCCACCCTCCACGAACGCACTTTTGAATTTGAAGTGTACCAAGTTGTACCGGGTTCAACGACCCTAAGGACACTATCAGTCTGCACAGCTGACCCTGGCACCGATCACTGGTGTACCTGCCTGGTTCTGCAAAACCTGTCTGGTACGAAACCGTAATCAAACGTCTGTAATACTCTAGATGGAAGCCAAACACATGGCGCACTCTGGTATTTTCTATTAACCACGGGCAACCAAACATAAGCGCTTCTGTACTCGTTGTTTACTAGCTCCAGAGAGATAAGTACCCTTCTGGAAATAGTAACACACAAAATAGACATGGAAAAGAGGGGTATCATAGGGTTAACTGAAAAGGTCATAATAGGGTTAACTGAAAACGGGTTTGGGGCGAGTGAAAAGGGAAAGGGTGCCAACACAAGCTGCATTTTTCTTTTGAGGGACAGAATATTAAGAATTGTTCAAAAAAAATCAAATTTTGCCAAATTTCAATAAAATAGTAATACATAGATGATGAAAATAGCATAGAAGCAAAAATCCAATGCATATTGAATGAGGTGTATTTACGTAGCGCAGTGGTGAAATTTCTGCGCCATAGACTCGACATCGCGAGTTTGAATCGCGCGACGCCAAATGCTTAGCAAACAGTCGACTGGTGAGAATTCGGCGATCCGCGGCTGTCCACCCGACTTGTGGACTGTCCACACAGCGCAGCGCAATCGCCACCGCAGTCCACATTTGAGCCGATCTTCGCGTTCGGTCACTATCGGTTCCGTAGTGTAGCGGTTAACACCCTGGACTTTGAATCCAGTAACGCGAGTTCGAATCTCGCCGGAACCTAACATTTTGCAAATTTGATGCTGATTGAGAATTCGCGGTATAACTATGCGAAAACCTTTATGAACTAACTGATAAGCCCAGATTGGAGTCTTTTGAGGTTCTACAAGTTTGTTTTTAGCAATCAAAGAAACATAAAGAGCTATTGCGTGCAAGGGAAGGGACAAGGGTTACTTCTTAAACCGAGGTTGGCCTCTCAGACCCCCTCCTTATTCACGTCTTCGCAGCTGGGCTATGCAACAGTTCTCAAATTCCGAAGAAATGAAGCTTAGATGATCCCGCAGAAATTGCCATGAGGTTAAAAAATAAAAAAATTCAAAAAAAATCAAACTTAATGTAAGGTAGAAAATCCAACCTGGGTTTGTCCAGTGAGAATTGTGCTTTATAGACGTCAATAATAAATCCGTGCTCTTCGGCTCGTACACGCAATAACACCGGTGTCTTCCGTAAGCAGCCACGGTTACTTGTGATGAACTCGTAGTCCCGACGTTGTACAGCGCGCAGCGACTTTAGGTCCTAAAAATAACAGCACTAGTTGCAGTTATAGAGACCTTGCGGAGGCTACTTCATTAATCCATTTTGTCAGTAAGTCAAAGAAAGCTGAGCGATATCGAGGTGGTGTGACCTACCAGCCTAGGCGATCTGCCCTTCGATTGCCTAGGCTGTTTCTTCCTTTCACTAACTACGAAAACGACGCCAGTTTTCCCAATTTCCCATGATTTATTCATCGAATGAGTCAGCTGAGGCTACGCCATGGACCTTGCTTCATGATTATTCTCGAATCGATTCTAACATTCTCAGAACTAGAGATGGGGACTTCGATCTCAGGTATGTCCGCTGATTTGCTACGTAGTTCTTATCGATCCAGCTTTCAACCAAATTTCAGCCGCTTAAAATTGATCGCGTTTGATATATGTTTTCGTTTTCTTCTTCTAAGGCAGGAGGACGGTTGGCGCAGTAGTGACGAAAAAGTGCAATACAAGTGGGATGGGCACATCGTATTTTTTGAATACGGTAGGCGCGAAATGTATGTAAGTGGGGACTGCTGCCCGCTACTATGACGTGACGAGACGCTATGAAGTAACTCACACATTCCAGCTTTTCACGCATGTCAAGTGACTGCCCTCCCACCCCCACCCCCTAGATTGGCTACACTCCCCCTGGCTCACGAATTCCCTCAATTCTCGTGACACCATAGCAGCGGGCAGCAGTCCCCACATACATTTCGCGCCTACCGTATTCAAAAAATCGACGTGCCCATCCCACTTGTATTGCACCGATATATTTTTGGTGTTTTATTTAAGGCAGGCAGGACGATGAATTGTTGGCCGTCTGCTCGGAATGGGAGTGGATCTACTAGGAGGCGCAGTAGTGAACAAGAAACAGAGGGAACTTTCTGAAACCCGCAGAGAGGACCCTTGTTCCCCGTTGATTTCCGTGTAGGTCGGGTTTCATCGGTACTATCGTCGCAACTTGAACGCTTTACTCCGTCTCTCTACCGAAGCCTAGGGCAAGAATCCCACAGAGTGCTACTGGCAGTAGTGGTAGCTAACCA